TTTTTTTTTTTTTTTTTTTTTTTTGGCCAATTGTAGACTTCTTTATTTTGTGTTTTGACTTTTGGGTTGCCTTTGGAGCTCTGTGATGGCTTGGGGGGCACTTTATTTTCCTCTTGTGCACTTAAGCTTCTGTGATGTATATTTCAGTTTCAATTCAAAAACATAAAGAAAATGAGATACAAGGTAGGTTTCATATCTTTGATTGATTTGTATTGCAATGCCAGGTCATTTTGCGAAGTACCTTGATTAAGTATTCTGTACATGAGATCTTAAGTTGGAATCATTGTCTTTGATTAGGTTGAATTTTTTTGCTTGTGTAGTGATAATTTGTTAAGAGTGCATAGGTAGAGAAGAAATGTTCTGTAAAATTCTTAGGCCGTGAGGATACATATGTTGATTTGATTGTGACTGATCCTGATTTTTGCTTTCCAGATTGCTTGGAAAGTTGGGGATCCAAAAATTCCCCGACCATGGAGTAAACATTCTAAAGAAGAAAAGGGCACTAAAGATAAGACGGAAGTAGAAGATGACAAAAGTAAAAGTCTCTTGGGATCTAAAAAAGAGGGAGACAACCTTAAATTGCGTATTCAAGATGATGACCCTAAAATTCAAGAGTTTCTTCAAGTGACACAACCTCGGATTAATTCAAAATTGTGGGCAAATGACACTTTGACGGCTCCAGAAGATGGAAAAAGCAAGGAGAAAGCAAGTAAAATGAAAACGGTGGGTGGAAGAAGAATGGAGTTGGTGAATGTTGATGGAGATAAAGCTGAGGAAACGCAAACTGCACTGCATAAAAACCCTGCTCATGATGATAAAATTTCGGATATGGAATATTTTAAAAGCAGGGTGAAGAAAACATGGTCAGATTCAGAGACTAGTGATGTTGACAATAGTGACGAGGATGAGTCTATAAAGAAAAAATTGGAGATAAGGGACGTTCCGATGGTAGATTCCAAATTACCACTAAAAACAAAAGCCAAAGAAGAGGGTCATTCCAATCATTGTGATGCAGATATACTCAACCGGGAGAAATCCTCATCAACTCTGGAAGATAAGAAGGATGAAATGCTGGAGAGTGGTCGACTTTTTGTTCGAAATCTGCCATATGCAGCAACGTAACAATACTTTCTGCAATCTACAATTGTTCAACTGTGCCATTTCTTTGTTTTTATTTATAATTTATTCATACCAATTTGTTGCAATTGAAGATTTTTTTGGTTATTTTTTGAACTTTTATCAGCGAAGAAGAGTTAGAAGAGCACTTCCGAAGATATGGCACTGTCTCAGAGGTACATCTTGTAGTCGATAAAGATACAAGGCGTTCTAAAGGCATTGCTTATATCCTTTACACCGTTCCAGAATCTGCAAAAAGGTATTTGTTTGGTGAATGAAATTGTTTTACTAGTTCCATTGTTCCTATTTGTATTTGTTTGTCCTGACAAATTGTATTTCTTGTGGCTTTAATGGCCAATCGGGGATATATAGTTAATCTCAATATGCTTAAATTTTCTAAGTGCTGCTAGGTCTCCTCATGAAGACATGCCTTGCATGATTGGTTGAATTTAGAAATTTTTGGGGAAATCTAAAATTGAAATTACTAATATTTCGTTGTGATTTTTCTCTTCGTTTTTGCTTTCTTTTGAACTTCAGATTTTAACTTCAAAATAAAGAACAAGAGTATGCTTGGTTTTGTGCCTGATACTTCTTATACATTCTTGAAAAATTGGGCCTATTAATAAAATTTTTCAATTATATTTTAACTGAAGGGCACTTGAAGAATTGGATAATTCAATTTTCCAAGGGCGATTGTTGCACATCATGCCTGCTCAACTAAGGAAAATATCCGAGAAACCAGAGTAAGTTCTTTAGTGTATGTTTTTTATGCCTGGATTGCACAATTTTGAATGCTATAGTAAATATATTTAGTGGAGAATGCTCACTTTACAGGGAAAATATTTTAGAGGGCCAAAGGTCAAAATCCTTCAAGCAGAAAAGAGAGGAAGAGAGAAAAGCATCTGAAGCTAGTGGCAATACAAAAGCATGGAATAGTTTATTCATGCGCCCTGATACGGTATGACGTAACCTAGTCTGTTACTTCTGTCCACTTGCTTGGATCATTATTTTCTTATGAGAAAAACTGCAAGATGCATAAGGTGACTAGTGGTTTGCTGTCCGTAAAAAAGCCATTGTATGAGTGAAATAATGTGGCATATTTGCTAAGAATTGCAGAAAGATGATTTAGGGTGTGTTTGAATTATTTTTTATAGTTTAAACTCTTTTCTTAAATTATTTTTAACAAAAATGTTTCTGTATCTTACATGCCCAAAGAATTGCTTTAAAGAACAAAATTGTTTGGTTGTATTACATTCAAGAAGTGACTATTAGTACAAATATGTTATTTTTTTTCTTACTTCATATTCTGAATATATTTTGAGGATATTCAGTCCATCACTTTAAAGTCATTTTTTAATGCTCTATTTCTGAAGTGTTTAATCAAAAATAGGCTTTAAATTAGTTCATTTTTTAAAATACTTTTTATTTATTAAGATAGATATATATATTTTAAAAAAGAACTCTTGATAAACTCAAATCACTCAAAAAAACTACTAAACCCACTTTAAATTAGTAATTTTTCTAAGGGTACTTGCAGAAAAAAGTGTTTTTATTTAAGTATTTTTCTTTCCAAAGCTATTCCAAACATACTGTTACTATGATAACATTGCACGAAATATATGTTTGAGCATAATATGAGATTTTGAGAGAACAATTTCCTAGGTTCAGGCACTTGCCATATGTGATCCTTTAGTCTAGATGGCTTGTCTATCCCCGGGTCTTGTCCAAAATCTCATAAATAACCTTGAAGATTGTTCACAATCTGTTAAGAATGTTTCCTTCCACCTCCGTCTTTATAAAAAATAAATTTCAGTTGTGAGCTTATTGTCAGTCACCTTGATGGTTTTTGTAGGTGGTTGAAAATATTGCTAGAAAATATGGTGTTAGTAAGGGTGAATTACTGGACGGGGAAGCTGATGACCTTGCTGTACGAGTTGCTTTGGGTGAAACTCAAGTAGTTGCAGAGACAAAGAATGCTCTCACAAATGCTGGAGTAAATGTTGCATCTTTAGAGGAATTTGCTTCTGGTAAAGCTGATGGACACAAAAGGAGCAATCATATTCTTCTTGTGAAAAACTTGCCTTATGGTTCTTCTGAAGGAGAACTTGCAAATATGTTCGGGAAATTTGGGAGTTTAGATAAAATCATCCTTCCACCAACAAAGATATTGGCTTTGGTAATTATTGCCCTCTCTCTGTCCATATAATATATATTACAAGTTAATATATCTCAGGCGTAATGATTGCTCTATAACACATGAGACTAATCTTACAAATAAACAATTTCATCTATGCTATCAATTATGATTTATTCATTGTCGTCTTTTATTAGCTAGACTGATCAAAGCACCTTGCAGTGTTGGTGGTGCCAATGAAATCTTTCAAATATTAGTAATAAACTTTATCATGTAACTTAATTATCTTCTAACCTTCGACTGCTTTTATTTTGAGACACAGGTTATTTTTCTAGAGCCATCTGTAGCTCGCGCTGCCTTTAAAGGTTTGGCATACAAACGTTACAAGTAAGTTCATTCTCTTTTATTATATGTCTGAGAACATCTGTAGTACTTTCTGTTATATGCTTAATGTGTTGTATTTGACCATGCAGACTTCATTGTCTAAAGAATATTATGTTACATCTAGCTAAGAACAACTTAATATCGCATCTAACGAAGTTATATAGCAAATTTCTTCCCTTAGGAATCAAACAATGGAGATTAGAGATTCTAATTTTGTAACTCTCTAATCAAACATGTTTGGAGCAAATATGTCCACCATGCAGTGCTGATAATGTTTTGCTTAAGGTTTTCAACTTGTTTTAATATTTAGGTTAAATTGCAAGTGTGGTCCTTATGATTTGGAAGAAGTTAGAATTTAGTCTCTATGGTTTTAAAAGTTAGAATTTCACCCTTATGGTTAGATAAAACCTCATAAGTAGTTGATGAAAGCATCATTATAAGAAAATAAGAAAGAAGCACCACATTCTATCTATATCTAATACTCGGCTCTTAAGCTTTAAAGGGAAGTCATTAGTGTGCTATGATATCCATTATTTTTCTATAGACCAGTAAGGACTTTAGGAGACTTTTATCAAACCATAGGAACTTGTTCTAACATTTAAGGCTAAAGGGACTAGTTTCTAACTTTCTACAAACCATATGAACTGATTTTGTAATTTAACCTAAAATTTGATAGTATAGTCTTACTTCTCTTATTGGTGATGTGAGCATGTCCACTCTTTCTAATAGTGAGGGTTATTTTTACTTAAATCTCTACCCCACATGTTTTTGAACTAAAAAAGAATAGTTGGGTTTTCCCCCCTTGGAAGTAACAGTTCTTTCTTTTTGACATTATATTAGGGATGCTCCTTTATATTTGGAATGGGCGCCTGACAACATTCTTAGCCACAATCCAATGCCTGGACATGTCAAGGACGAGAAAGTTGGTGAAGGTGATGCTAGGAGGGTGATATTAGAGCAGGCAGTGGAAGGAATATCAGATGTTGATTTTGACCCTGACAGGGTTGAGGTTTGTTTTTTGAGTCTTTGTAATAGTTATCCAGTAGAGCAGGACACACCCAATTATCAACTAGTTTTGTATCTTGCATGTAGCATTCATATATTTTCTTTAATTTTTTTAAAACATGGGAGCTTAGTTATCTTGCCTATCCAATCTATTTACTTGCTGTTTGTTCTATTTTCTTCAGTCGCGATCTCTTTTTGTCAAGAACCTCAACTTTAAAACGACAGATGAAAGTTTGAGAAAGCATTTTAGTGAAAACATGAAAGAGGGAAGAATATTGAGTGCCAAGGTAAAATATTATGATCTCAGCAGTTTATTTTGTTGATCTCAAGAAGTTCAAAGTTTTTTAGCTTTATTTCTTGACTGCCAGGTAAAGAAGCATATAAAAAAAGGACAGCATGTCTCGATGGGTTTTGGATTTTTGGAATTTGATTCGGTGGAGACTGCCACAAGGGTCTGCAGTAACTTGCAGGTGATTGTGCTTTCAAGGCAAATTTTTATTATTATTATTATTATTATTATTTACATTGCATATCAGTTTAGGCATAAATTAGATTGCTTAATTTTTTTTTTCTTTGTATCAGGGAACTGTTTTGGATAGCCATGCCCTCATCTTGCAAATGTGTCATGTCAAGAAGGATGATCAAGGGCAAAGAAAAGTAGATAAGGAAAAGAGTTCGACTAAAATACTTGTAAGAAATGTGGCCTTTGAGGCTACAGGGAAAGATCTAAGACAGCTGTTCAGTCCCTACGGACAGGTGATTGCTTATCTTTGTTGATTAGCTGCGGCTGCTTCTGTTATTTTCATGTTGGGATCTGTCTCATTCAACTTGAAAACATATTTTCACTAATTTGGTTTTCATTATTGCAATTGAAGATGTTTTCATAAACCATGAACCACACACCATAAGCACAATAATATCCGTACAAACCTTCATATTGTTGCACCTTCATCCAGTTGGTTCTGAACACAGTTTTTCATACAAAGCACTGATAATCCTCTCGTGAGTTTTGCACAGCTTTTGAGGCAGTGACAAGTGCTTTTAACAGACTAAGAACACTTTTCAACGTTAAAGTAATCCCAGATCAATCTAAATATCTACGGACATTTTTGTTCATGAAAAAGAATTTTGTACCTCTAGTTGGTTATCTACAAAGATTTGGTACCTCTTCTTTCATTGTACTATATGGTTATCATTTTGTTTTTGTTAATATTTGCCTTTTTTTCAGATTAAGAGCTTAAGACTGCCAATGAAGTTTGGAAAACATAGAGGCTTTGCATTTGTGGAGTATGTTACAAAGCAGGAGGCGCAAAATGCATTTCAGGCACTTTCAAACACCCACTTGTATGGTCGGCATCTTGTAAGTCTTGAACTCACCTCGTGAATCAGCCGCTTTACTTTTTACTTCTTGTGGTGCTTCTGTAACTGTATAGTGTAAACTCCAAACCACGATGCATTTCTTACGAGTTTTCTAATGCAATAAACAGGTTTTAGAGAGAGCAAAGGAAGGTGAGACCTTGGAAGAATTGAGGGCCCGAACGGCTGCTCAGTTCAGCAACGATCGCGATAAGTCTCAAAATCCAGTTTTGTCCAAGAAGAGGAAGCAGGTGGATGACTTTGAAGAAGACAGTAAGAAGTTTTTAAGGACTGATTAACCATATTTAAGGTGCATGGTAGTTTAGAAGATTACATGATCATCAATTTTGTTTTGTTTTTGCTTATTTAGTTTGTACCATATCTTGTCTTCCAGTCCCCTTTTGATCTATTATGAAGAGCTGCTTCCCCACAGTTTTGTACTGTCTATCATAGGAATTAGTGTAGCATTTTCCTCTGTTGTCCTTGTCTAAAATATAGTTTGTATTTATTTTCTTATGAACGTTGAAATGTATAACAGTTCATTTGATTTGTATAACAATCTTGTCATTCTACCCTTAATATTCATGTTCTTTTCTTTCATTAGATTACGAGTTTAGTAATAATTTGAATTTTGTGGCTCTAAGTGAGGATGTTTGAATTTTTCAAAACTTCATAGACATATTATGAACTTGTCAACTTATCTTCTTTGTTCTTGTGCCGATTTTCTTCTTCTAGAACAACTCTATTATCATCCAAGTTTGAATATGAATATGATGATTTGGCTCTATAATTGAAGTAGATTCTGAGAATCATAAGGTGAATCGAGTTGGTGTTGTAAAATTTTGTGAGATGATCCCAGATCACCACCTTTGTGGCTTTATCTGATAGCTTTCGTCTTCAACAAAATAATAATAAAAAGATTAATAATAATAACAAAGATCATGTGGACCCCATATTGTATTTTTCCAATAAATACATATTTGAAATACAAAGAATTAATTAGTGTATTAAACAATATTGGAGGTCTATTTTCATTCCATATCAATTAAATAAATACCGTGTAAAATTCAACTTTCAAAAGGTTCGGATAATCTTTGTGATTTTTACACCACTAAAATCATACATTTGATTTGAAGGTTTGATTTGAAGGTTGGGTTCGAGTTCAGGTTAATTCTAATGAATTTGAAAGGAAATAATCATCTTTTTATTCTAAAAATATAAATAAATTATATGGCAAAAAGAAAAGGATAAAGATTTGGCCTTTTTCTAAAAAAGAAGTTTAACTATGTTTTTCTCAAACACAAATATAATTTTTATTTTTTTGCTGGATTCGAATTTATTCTAGAAAAAATACTTTAAATTAAACACTTTTTAAGAATGAAGCATGATGATGATAATACTAAAAGGAGTTGAATTTTAAACCACTATTATTGAGAATATTGAATAGTAATTTTAAGGGTTGTTAACTTATCCTTCCACTAATATAATTATGAGGCTCGTTTTAAACCACTTTTATGTATAAAATATGGGGTCAGTATTTCACAAAATGGGTAGCAAAAGGATGTATAATTATGATACTCAAGACTATGCTTCTGATATCTACTACCACTTGGTGATAGTGCATGGAAGAAATGTAAGCATATATAATCCATATATAGTGGAGGAAATAGCATAATCATTCTAATTTCACCAACCTTATAATATATAGTGCATGAAATAGTGTTACTAACTTTTGTTTCGTTATAAGATTCAGCTGGTAAGCATATGACGCGACATGTGTTGATATGAAATATTCATCGACAAGCTACTATTGAGATCCATTATGCTGATTTCGTATACTTGGTTGACCATCAAGAACAACAATTAGTAGAGAATGGATTCAATGTCTTTTCTTTATTGAAAAAGAATAGTTTAATTTCAATTAGATTCTTCACCAAACGCGTGGACAAATAACTTTGCGATATCAAATATACAGCTACATCAGCTCACTGTATACTTTATTGATTACCAATAGAATTGATATAAAGGAATTATAGTTTTTTTTTTTTTTTTCTATCGAGTGGCTCGTAACGTCTAACAATTCTGACATTCTTTTCTAATCTTCGATATGTGAGATCCCACCTAGTAGACACGTTTTAAAAACCTTGAGGGGAAGTCCAAAAGGGAAAGCCCAAAGAGGACAATATCTGCTAGCGGTGGACTTGAGTTGTTACAAATGGCATCAGAGCTAGTCACCTAGCGGTGTGCTAGTGAGGACGCTGAGCCTCCAAGGGGGTGGATTGTGAGATCTCACATTGGTTGGAAATGAGAACGAAGCATTCTTATAAGCATGTGGAAACCTTCCCTAGCAGACACATTTTAAAACCGTGAGATTGATAACGATATGTAACAGGCCAAAGCGAACAATATCTTTTTAGAGGTGGACTTGGGTTGTTAACAATATACCATAGATGTTGAAAGTGCGACTAAAATCGAACGTAAAGCAATATTATATTATTGTGAAGACAAGTGGAGGGTCCTATCTTATTCCCCACGAACTACCCTAATTTCTTGTGGAAATAGGGTTTCCATATTTAGGAGGTGACCCAACCTTAACAAAAAAAAAAAGGCACAACATTGTTAGTGACAATCCAGCTTGACCCATGAATGGCCCTAAAAGTTTGGGGACGTTATCGTTACTTACAAAAGACACTGGAGAGGTAGTGAGGGCAGGCGTCATTAGCAAACATGAACAGTTGAAGCAGAAACAACAGTGCAGTTGACATTGGGAGATGCCCAACCCGTCCCAATATCAATTTCAATATCAATTTCAATATTAATTTCAATATCAATTTCACGGAAAAAGACCATGGTACGCTCCGGGTGCTCGTCGTTCGCATAATTTGGATTTCGTCCGCAACTTTAGCCTCTTAACAAAACAAAGACCTTGCCTTTTTCGAACATATCACGAGCACCTATCACCAGCCTAGAAAACTATTTGACATATTTTCGGATATTCTCGATGTCTTAAAAAATCTTATCAAATGACAATAAGAGTTATTGCTTCGAACAATGCATGTTGTTAAAGCAACTTTAGCTCCATGGGTAATTGTCGAGTTCGAATATGTCTCTTAATTAGATGCTTTCCTATGTATATGTTAGGACGTTGCCCAAATCCCCTTCCTTGAAACTCCACAAGGAACTAAGGTCGAGGCTAGGCTAAGGTTAGAGGCATGTGTCTTATAATCCCATGACTTGGAGTGTCTTGTCTCTGTTCGGTTCAATTTAGATCATATTCTTTCTCCAACCAAACAAATTCACAGTTAAAGGGTTTTCGTATAAATACTATATTTCAACCAACAAGTCATTTCTCAATACTCTAAATCTTAGTTATACCAAAATTCTCTATGTTAACTTAAGCATTAAAGCTGATATGATAAGCACCATACCAATGTGCAAAAATGGAGTTATCATATTGGTAAAATATTTATAAGATGAAATAGCTATCAATATTGAAAAAAAAAAAGAAAAAATTGGTATTACCAAATGACCAAAAAACCCTTGAACTCCAAGGCATTTGGATATAAAAGGGAGGTGTGGTGGTGCAAAATTCTTCATCCCATCTAATTCCCATTTCTTTTAAGAAATTTAGCCTTTTGAGATACAAATATTTGTATCTCAATAAACCCAAATTCAGGTGATACTTCATTATATTTTTACTTTATTATTTTTTTTTTTCCCGAAGTAAAGTGAATTTAAAATGGCATTGCATCGTGTTATTAGGAATGGAGGCGAATACGACGGTAGCCAAAAACTGTCCGTCAGAGATGAAAGCAACATCAAATGGAGTATTTCAGGGCGACAATCCGCTAGATTTCGCTCTTCCTTTGGCAATTCTTCAGATATGTTTGGTAGTCATTCTTACTCGCGTTCTTGGTTTGCTTTTCCGACCACTCAGACAACCTCGTGTCGTTGCAGAGATCGTTGTAAGTTTAATGAAGTTTTAAAGAGATATCTATATATCGGAGTATAGCTAAGTAAAGTTGGAATTCGATGCCACTAAAATTCTCGAGCTATTAAAAAGAAAAAAAAAATATATATATATATATATATATAAATTGTTGCATGTGTCTAATAATAAATGAAAAATATTAAACAATTTGTGGTATGCTAAGAAATGATATGCGTTTATTATGGTTGACGTTAGGGCGGAATATTGCTGGGACCATCAGCGGTGGGTCGGAGCCATGAATTTCTACACGCAGTGTTCCCAGAGAGAAGCCTAACAATGTTGGACACGTTGGCCAATCTGGGTCTGCTCTTCTTCTTATTTCTCGTTGGGCTCGAGCTGGATCCGAAGTCCCTCCGCCATACCGGAAAGGCCGCCATGGGCATCGCCGTCGCCGGAATCACCCTCCCCTTCCTCCTCGGCATCGGCACCTCCTATGTCCTCCGTTCCACCATCTCCCAAGGCGTCCATGCCCCTCCCTTCCTTATATTCATGGGCGTAGCTCTCTCCATCACCGCCTTCCCTGTCCTGGCCCGTATTCTGGCCGAGCTCAAGCTTTTAACCACTAACGTCGGCCGTATGGCTATGTCCGCCGCCGCTGTCAACGATGTCGCCGCCTGGATCTTCCTCGCTCTCGCCATCGCCCTCTCCGGTACTGGCAGCTCCCCTCTCGTCTCCCTCTGGGTCTTCCTCTTTGGGTTTGCTTTTGTCCTGTTCTGCTTCTTCACTCTGCCGCCCATTTTCCGGTGGATGTCCAGTCGCTGCTCCGACGGCGAACCCATCAGCGAACTCTATATTTGCGCTACCTTATCCATCGTCCTCGCCGCCGGTTTCTTCACCGATTTAATCGGAATTCACGCCCTCTTTGGCGCCTTCGTTGTCGGCGTTCTTGTACCAAAAGACGGCCCACTAGCCGGCGCTCTCGTCGAGAAAGTCGAAGGTCTGGTCTCCGGTCTCTTCCTCCCTCTTTATTTCGTTTCTAGCGGATTGAAAACCAACATCGCCACCATCAAAGGCGCCCAATCGTGGGGTCTCCTCGTTCTCGTCGTTTTCACCGCTTGTTTCGGGAAAGTCCTGGGCACCATCGCCGTCGCACTCTTCTGCAAAATGCCACTCCAGGAATCAATCGCTTTAGGATTCTTGATGAACACGAAAGGGCTCGTGGAATTAATCGTCCTCAACATCGGGAAAGACAGAAAAGTTCTGAACGATCAAACTTTTGCAATTCTCGTTCTAATGGCTATCATCACAACCTTCATCACAACCCCAATCGTGATGGCGGTTTACAAACCGGCAAAGAGAAAAAGCAAATCTGAATACATAAACAGAACAATTGAGCGTGAGGATCCCAATTCAGAGCTGCGGATTTTGGCCTGTTTTCACTCTGTTACCAACATTCCTTCGGTTTTAAACTTGATTGAGGCGTCTCGTGGGGCGGAAGGAAAAGAATGGGTTGGGCGCCGGGTTTGCGTTTATGCTATGCATTTGATGGAGCTGACGGAGAGGTCGTCGGCCATTTTTATGGTCCACCGAGCTCGGAAGAATCAGCTTCCGTTCTGGAATAAAGGGGGGAAGGCTGATTCCGATCAAATCGTGGTGGCTTTTGAGGATTTTGGGCAGCTTAGTCGGGTGTCTATACGTCCAATGACGGCCATATCTCCACTATCTAGCATTCATGAAGATGTCTGCAACAGCGCCGAGCGGAAACGAGCAGCCATTATCATCCTCCCATTCCACAAACACCAAAGGTTAGTGTTAGTTCTTATTTCATTCATGCAAAACTTGCTCCCTAATTGAGGCTTTCTCTGAAGCCCTCGAACCACTTAAGTCACCTTTGACTATACTTTCGAATTAAGGGCATGACTCTGATACCATGGTAGGAACCACAAATTTCTATAATGGTAAGATATTGTCTACTTTAAATGTAAATTCTCATGGTTTTATTTTCGATTTTTTCAAAAGGTCTTGTACCAATAAAGATGTATTACTTGCTTATAAATTCATGATCATTCTCTTAACTCTCTCCTAACAATTCTTAACATTATCCAGCTAATCGATGATAAATGGCAGGTTTGATGGATGTTTGGAGACAACACGAGGCGATTTCCAATGGGTCAATCAAAAAGTTCTCGAACAACCACCTTGCTCTGTTGGGATCTTGGTCGACCGAGGATTTGGAGGTGGGTCTCACATCAGCGCTAGCAACGTCTCTTCCACCATAACCATCTTCTTCTTCGGCGGCCGTGACGACCGTGAAGCACTAGCCTACGGTCGGAGAATGGCCGAACATCCCGGAATAACGCTAAACGTTATCCGCTTCCTTCCAAGCCCCGACATGGTGGTAGAATCCATTGTAGTTGACATTAACAAATACGACACAAATGATGTTTCAGCAGGCACAGATGAGAGGGTACTGTCGGAGTTGAAGATGAAGAAAACAGAGGAGAAGTCGATTAAATATGAAGAGAGGGTTGTGAGCAATAGCTGCGACGCCATTGATGTAATGAGGGAGTTTGGTAGATGCCATTTGATATTGGTGGGTCGAATGCCAGAAGGGCGAGTAGTGGAGAGCTTTCATTTGAAGAGTGTAGAATGTCCTGAGTTGGGGCCAATTGGGAGCTTGTTCACATCGCCAGAGCTCCTCACATCAGCATCCCTGTTGGTGATTCAACAGTTTCGTGGTCCCTTGTCTTCTTTTTCCACATCTGCAATGGTTTTGCCTGAGGAGGTTAAGGAGTAAACGTGTCGATACATACTCGTTTTCTTCATTGTCTCCCGTATCGTTATCATTTGAAAATGATATGAGGTCGACGAATGGTTGAAAAACTATATATGAAGACAAAATTATAGTGTGATCGAAAGGAGTAGATACTCTGATCGTATTGAAATTTTTTATCGTAAATGTATGGTATTTGTTCAAATTGAAAGGAGGGAGGAGGAAGTAGGGTTGCCTTCTAATATGCATAGTGCTATGATCATGCTTGTCCAAGGCGTGTTGTCTATAGTCGAATCTCAGACATCCTGATCATGTTGTCCATTGCTGCATACCCATTCCAAACTCCTTCTCCATGCTTTCATTTTAGATATGACTTTACTATCTCATGTTGTGTCATATATAGATGTACGATTGTTCACCAAAATTATGTCAATACTTGTAAGTGCTAAAATGCCCCGTACTATTGGGGATATGATTAGTTGTCACTTCTTTATACCTAAGTTATATACTATCAAAGTTGTTATTGTTACCTAATTGCTCTTAGCTTATAATATTGCTTTATTTCAAATTGTTTTCGACATATTTTTTCGTTCATGTTCTCTAAAACATTTTTCTTAAACATAACTCTAAGACTTGAGCATAAGCCACGCGCCTCGCACGTGGAAAATAATAAACATGTTCTCAATTAAAAGGTGGATAGTTACCTTAACTTTTTAAGGAATATTACAACTTAAAACATAAATTTTCCAAAATATTTGGGATAAACTCAAAATTTTGGATGGGTTTAGTTAACCATAGGAGCCAATTAGGTAAGAAACAACTTAAAACTTAACCGATAAACAAATAATTATACCTGTTCTTCACCATTAAAATAGCGTAACTTAGCAAGGAGGTAGAGAGACGGAGAGAAGTATAAGACTGCAAAACTCTGTTTTTTTTCGGTGTGAGAAGTTGAATCGACAATAATGGCTACCAATGCCACTGCTACAGGCGTATGTCCGGCACCGATGAAGGCCACTTCAAATGGTGTTTTTCAAGGCGATAATCCTCTGAATTATGCGCTTCCTCTCGCCATCCTTCAGATCTGTCTCGTCGTCCTTCTCACTCGTGCTCTCTCTTTTCTTCTCCGGCCAATTCGACAGCCTCGTGTCATTGCTGAGATCGTCGTATGTTCTTTCATCTCACTAACTTCTGTTATCATCTTCACATTCTTATGGATCCGAAGAATTGTTCTTTTTCAGTAAAAGTTTTTGTTCTTTTGCAAGGGCGGAATCTTGCTGGGTCCATCGGCGTTTGGCCGGAACTTGAACTACTTACACACAATCTTTCCGGCGAAGAGCCTCACCGTATTGGATACGTTGGCCAACTTGGGTCTTCTCTTCTTCCTCTTTCTCGTCGGCTTGGAGTTGGACCTAAAATCGCTCCGCCGTACCGGAAAACGAGCAATGTGCATCGCCTTAGCTGGAATCACCCTCCCGTTCATCATCGGCATCGGTACTTCCATCATTCTCCGATCAACCATTTCCAAAGGTGTTAATGAAGCCGCTTTTCTTGTCTTCATGGGTGTCGCTCTTTCAATCACTGCATTTCCCGTTCTGGCGAGAATTTTGGCTGAGCTCAAGCTTTTGACCACTGACGTCGGTCGCATGGCCATGTCAGCTGCCGCTGTCAATGACGTGGCGGCGTGGATTCTTCTAGCGTTGGCAATTGCACTCTCCGGCACTGGCAACTCCCCTCTTGTTTCCGTTTGGGTTTTCTTGTCTGGCTCTGGTTTTGTCCTGTTTTGTATCTTTTTCTTTCCGCCGGTGTTCCGGTGGATGTCGCAACAGTGCTCTGAGGGTGAGCCGGTGAAGGAACTGTACATTTGTGCCACTTTGTCGATTGTTTTGGCTGCTGGGTTCGTCACGGATTTGATCGGAATCCATGCCCTGTTCGGAGCTTTCATCATAGGAGTTCTGGTTCCTAAAGAAGGCCCATTCGCCGGAGCTCTGGTTGAGAAAGTTGAAGATCTCGTCTCTGGTCTTTTTCTTCCATTATACTTCGTTTCAAGCGGATTAAAAACAAACGTGGCAACAATTAAAGGAGCTCAATCATGGGGTCTTCTTGTTTTAGTCATTTTCAACGCCTGTTTTGGTAAAATCGTCGGAACTGTTTCTGTTGCCATGTTCTGCGAAGTTCCATTACAAGAATCATTGGCTTTGGGGTTTTTGATGAACACGAAAGGCCTAGTCGAATTAATCGTTCTAAACATCGGCAAAGATAGAAAGGTTCTGAACGATCAGACATTTTCGATTATGGTTCTAATGGCGATCTTCACAACGTTCATCACAACTCCAATTGTTATGGCGGTTTACAAGCCGGAGAAAAAACAGAGCAAATCGAATTACGAGTACAGAACACTTGAAAGGGAAGATCCTGATTCCCAGCTCCGGATTCTGGCTTGTTTCCACTCCATCGACAATATTCCGGCGATGATTAACCTAATTGAGGCCTCAAGAGGAATAGAAAAGAAAGCAGGTCTCTGTGTTTATGCTTTGCATTTAATGGAGCTAACAGAGAGATCCTCTGCCATTCTTATGGTTCACAAAGCACGAAAAAACGGCGTACCCTTTTGGAATAAAGCTCGGTCCGATTCGCGCCAGATTGTTGTCGCTTTCGAAGCATTCCGGCAGCTCAGCCGGGTCTCAATCCGACCGATGACCGCCATTTCTGCTCTGTCTAATATGCACGAAGATATCTGCAGTAGTGCAGAGAGAAAAAGGGTCGCCATTATAATCCTCCCATTCCACAAGCACCAAAGATTGGACGGATCTCTTGAAACGACGAGGGCTGATTACCGGTTAGTAAACCGAAAAGTTCTGGAACAATCGCCCTGTTCTGTCGGAATTTTGATTGACAGAGGACTCGGCGGAGGGTCCCATGTCTGCGCTAGTAACGTCTGCTCCACTATCGCCGTCTTTTTTTTCGGCGGTCGTGATGACCGTGAAGCTCTGGCGTTCGGGAAAAGAATGGCAGAGCATCCCGGAATCAGCTTGCAGGTCATCCGATTCAGTTTCATCCCCGATTTTACGTCAGAATCCGCCACAGTCAATATAAACAAGGACTCCGCCGTTTTAGACGCCGACGATATGGCGTTGGCGTCAATTGAGTACGAAGAGAGGAAGGTGAGCAAAGGGTGTTCCGCCATTGAAGCAATGAAGGAGTTCAGTAAATGCAATTTGATTCTGGTCGGAAGGATGCCGGAGGGTGAAGTGGTGAGGAGCATCAATATGAACTATTCCGAGGGTTCGGAGCTTGGGCCAATTGGCCGACTGTTAGCATCGCCGCAGTTTTCGACGACCGCTTCCGTGCTGGTGGTGCAAATGTCTTTAATAAAGTGAATATTTAAAAAGAAAATAATTAAAAAGTAATTTGTATTAGAATAATTTCAAAGAAAATTTATTGAAAAATGGCTCGACTTATATAGTGAAAATGGAAAAATAAATAAATAAAAACTAATTTTTGTTACGTGAAATATCTATTTGTTTTTTTACATTTATTGTTTTAAAAAATAATTATGAGTTTTATATATATATATACATATATAATTTGATCATTGAAAAGAGTAGGTAATTTGTAGAACTTGGAGACTGCATGGCTGGTAGTTCAATGGCGTTTATCTAATTTTCTTTTAATCCTTAGCTTCGTGAGAGTTGTTTTGATTGAGAGAACAGCGGCGTAAGATCGTTATTCCGATGTTATTGTGGCGCAGAAACCAAGCCGAAGAAGAAGAAGGAAGAAAGTCTGGTTTCGATCTTTTTCTCTTGCGTTCTAGTTCGGAAATGCTCATGGTTATTCAATCTTCTTCTCTGTTCCTTGTGATTTCACTTTCTAATTTTGTTCGAATCTGGTGATTTTGTTTTTCGTCGACACATTTTTTGTAGGGTTTATTATTTGATCGATTTCTGATGTTTGGTTCTGGATTTTTGTTGTGTTTTTAATTCTACTCTTCATTTGTGCGGCTGCATGATTATGTAGTCTCTTGATGGATCTTTGAGACGGAACATATGCGATTCCTCTACAAGATTTGGCTCTGTTTTCCCCCCCTTTCTTTCTAAGGTCTAATACTAACAAAATTTATGATGTACAGTTCTAGGTCCTCTACAAGAATTTCACTCTGCGTATTCTATTTTGATTAGGAACTGAGATTAAAGTAAGCTGTTCTTTGTAAATTTTTGGGGGACAGCATGGCTTTGAATACTACGGCAGTGACCAAATATCCATGTCCAATGAAAGCAACATCAAATGGAATTTTCCAGGGCGATAATCCTCTTGATTTTGCTCTGCCTCTTGTCATTCTACAGATATGTTTGGTACTCATACTTATTCGTTACTCGTGGCCTTGCTTTTCTTCTGAGGCCATTAAAACAGCCACGAGTGATCGGAGAAATTATTGTAAGTCTGTTCGTTCTTTTGAGGCTAAAAGTGTTTGATTCGTGACTTTTGTCTATTGGATTAAAATATTTTTACATCTATATATTGTGAGATCCCACGTTGGTTGGGGAGGAGAACGAAACATTCTTTATAAGAGTGTTGAAACCTTTTCCTAAGAGATGCATTTTAAAAACTTTGAGGGGAAGCTCGAAAGGGAAAGTCCAAAGATAACAAAGTCTTCTTTCGTTCGCTCTAGGAAAGAAGGCCCTTGGCATTGCTGTTACTGGAATCAGCCTTCCCTTTGCTCTAGGAATTGGATCATCATTTGTCCTCCAAAGAGCCATATCCAAAGGTGTAAATGCTTCTGTATTTCTCATATTCATGGGAGTTGCACTTTCAATAACAGCATTTCCCGTCCTAGCTCGTATCCTTGCCGAGCTTAAACTTCTAACCACTGATGTTGGCAGGATGGCTATGTCTGCTGCAGCAGTGAACGACGTAGCTGCCTGGATTCTAAATACTATCTCAATTAGTATGAGGCCATTTGGGGAAGCCGAAAGCAAAGCACGAGAGCTTATGCTCAAAGTGGATAATATTATACCATTGTAGAGAGTCATGATTCCTAACAATGTTTTCAATGTGGAGCCGGTACGTTTGATCTACATATGCGCTACATTAGCTATCGTCCTTGCTGCTGGATTGGTTACAGATTTTATTGGGATACATGCTATGTTTGGAGCTTTTGTTGTTGGAGTATTAGTTCGGAAGGATGGGCCATTAGTAGGCGCTTTTGTAGACGAAATAGAGGATCCTGTATCTTGTCTATTCCTGCCTCTTTACTTTGTATGAAGTGGATTGAAGAGTAATGTAGCCACAATTCAAGGAGCACAGTCCTGGGGTCTTCTAGTTTTAGTTATAGTTACGGCCTGTTTGTGAAAATTCTGCGGCACCTTTCTCGTGTCCATTCTTTGTGAAGTACCTGTTGGTGAGGCTCTCACGTTTAGGATTTCTAATGAACACAAAATGTTTGGTGGAGCTTATTGCTTCTCTACTTTCACTTATCAACTTTTCCTGGAGATCTGAGTTGCATATTTGTTTGATTCTGCAGGTTTTAAATGACCAGACCTTTGCAATAATGATTCTTCTGCCAAGCTAGCTTCTCAGGATGATGATGTGTTGTTGAATTCAAGCACAACGTGGGCAAGGACAATTCCATCACATATGTAGAGGAAACCGTAAAAAGTTCTGCAGAGGCAATGGAGACGGTGCAGGAGCTGAAAAGCTGCGATCTGTATCTCGTTGGCCAAACACCCGATATCAAAGCAACGTTTGGCTTGATCAGAAGTGAGTCCGAACTTGACTAATTTAGTAAATGGTCATGGATTTATAATCAAATAATACTATCTCCATTGATCAGAGCAAAGTCATGAGAGCTTTCAAAGTCATGCCCTAAAGTTAGTCGTCCCAATAGATTAGTAAATCTTCAAATGTCGAACAAAGGACTCTAAAAGAAAAGAAGTCGAGCCTCGATTAAGGGGAGACGTACATTGTTCGAGAGGAGGTGTTAGATGATGAAGTCTCACATCGTGAATTATCATGAGTTTATAATCAAATAATACTATCTCTATTGGTACGATATACATGTATTGTTTTGATATTTAATGTATTCAATACAATAAATATATATTTTTTTCTCTTTAATACATCTAATTATTAAATATTTATTTAAATTTTTTTCAATTAAGTTCGATCTTTTTTTTTTATGAGTCCTTAAAAATCTACTAATTATAAGCTCCATTAATTCATAGAACTTTTTAATTAATCAATTTTCATTTATAACTTATAAATTAATTCATAGAACTTTTTAATTAATCAATTTTAACTTATAGGTTACTCCATTACAAAATCTACGGTAAGACACCTTGTGTTCATTGATATAATTATTACAATAAATCAATCTTTTACCATGCAATTTCATCTTACCCGTTTAAGTACCATCAATCCTCTAATGAAAAACTTATTTATGATCCAACCATAAACTAAGTCCATCTCGGACAAATAAAATAGTAGAGCTCCATTCATAGTGGTCGTTGTTGATAGATGGTCGTAGCATGCAATCGTTTTGATCGTTTCATACATCATAAAAATTTTGGAGAGATTACAAATTAAACACTTAAAACTTTTTTTTTAATTGACTTCAAATATATTAATAAAGCTATGACAAACAGTTGGTGGGTTTTGTTCACCCACCAATTTGGTGCAGATAAAATAAGATAGAGTGACCAACTTCCCCATTACATTATTTCTTGTTAATAATTTGCTTTGAATTTCATTCTCACCCTTTTCTTTCTTTATCTTTCTATTTTTTAATTCTTTGAAAAGACTTACGAACCTCACCACTTTAGAAGTAGTTCAACATCTTTCCTTTTAAACTTAATTTATTAAATCAATTTTCAACCTAAATAAATAATTCAATTTATAATTCATACGAGTCAAACTAATCAAAATTAGGCTTTGCTAATATCAAATTATATCTAAGCGTAATTAATGATGTCAACATATTACCTCTCTGCTCCTCCTCCTATATAACACCCACCGGAATCCGCTCCATTTTAAAAAACTGTGCCCTAGATCTTCCAACACAATGTCTCGCAAATCTCCGATTACCAATCTCCTCTTCCTCCTCCTCATCTTCTTATTCGCATTCTCCGCCGCCGCAAAATCCCGCTCCCACGGCCCCCGCCGCCCCTGCCGCCACCTGGTGTTTTACTTCCACGACATTATCTACAACGGCGAAAACGCGGAGAACGCCACTGCCGCCATCGTCGGAGCACCGGCGTGGGGAAACACCACGATTCTGGCCGGACAGAACCACTTCGGCGACATGGTGGTGTTTGACGATCCAATCACGATGGACAACAACTTGCACTCGCCGGCGGTAGGGCGGGCGCAGGGGTTCTACATTTACGATAGGAAGGAGATCTTCACGGCGTGGCTTGGATTCTCGTTTGTGTTCAACTCGACGGAGCACAGAGGGAGCCTGAACTTTGCGGGCGCGGATCCGCTGATGAACAAGACGAGAGATGTGTCGGTGATCGGCGGGACGGGGGATTTCTTCATGGCGAGAGGGATTGCGACTCTGTCCACGGATTCGTTTGAAGGAGAGGTTTATTTTAGGCTTAGGGCGGATATTAAACTGTATGAATGCTGGTGATGCTGATTTGTTAAGAACCGTCGATTTCGAGTTTCTGTTTTGTCGTTTTTGTTGGGTCATGTTTTCAAAAAAAAAAAAATAATAATAATAATATTATGTCGTTTTTGTCGTAAACCTAAACCCTAAACCGTCCATTCGCGATTATAATAATTTAAATCATATCAGTCACGTACTTTTATTATATTAAACTAAGCTCCTAATCACGTGGATAACATGCTACACGTATGTATAACAAATTAAAATTTGTTTAGGAGCTTTGATGTACTACTTACTTGGATATTAACTCCAATTTTTTAGATTAGTGTAAACGGTATTGATAAAATAAGTTAACAAGAGTATGATATACGTCTTCATGCACGCTACACCTGTTGACCCATTATTAAAATCAATTCGGCTAACTCTCGAACACGTGAGTAGGAACCACATGTGCCAACCTGCAACAAAATTGAGACAAGATTTTTGCAACTTTTCCAAGTATAAGAACATGTCGTGTCTGAAAGAGATAATTTGAGCAAAATTTATTGATTTTATTTGAAATCTTATTAATACCAAAAATAATTAGATTTTGAAAATAAAATATGGTAGAGAATAATTATTTGGATGGCGGGGCCTTGGTGTATAAACAGTACCGTACGACAGCTGACTCGAAGACGGATAAAACGAAGCCCATTAACGTCATTTCACTTCTCATCCATCACCTCAAAGTCTCTCCATTCCGGTAGAGATTTCGTCAATTCCTCACCTCTCGGATGCTCCAATCTGACTCCCATTTGACTCCTTAAGAAATGGGCAACTGCAGTGGTCTGCCGGCCCGCCAAATCTTCGCCGGCAACCCCCTCGATCAGTCCGACCACCGCCCTCCCTCAAACGGTGTCGTCAAAGTCCTCCCACCCAATTCCGACCCTTCTCCGCCTCCACCCCTTCCCAAACAAATTTCGTCATCATCTGCGCCGCCCGCAGTTGGCCGGGTTCTTGGTCGGTCCTTTTCCGACGTCCGGTCGGTTTACTCCTTTGGCCGCGAGCTAGGTCGCGGCCAATTTGGTGTCACTTACTTAGTCACACACAAGGAAACGAAGCACGAGTTTGCCTGCAAATCAATCGCCACTAGAAAATTGATCAGTCAGGATGATGTTGAAGATATCCGCCGGGAGGTTCAGATTATGCACCATCTCACCGGGCACCCCCACATTGTTGAACTGAAAGAAGTCTACGAAGACCGCCATTATGTCAATTTGATTATGGAGCTCTGCGCCGGCGGTGAATTGTTCGATCGTATTATTGCTAAGGGACACTACTCTGAATCCACTGCGGCCTCGCTTTGCCGGCAGATTGTGACGGTCGTTCATAATTGTCACTCCATGGGAGTTATGCATAGGGACTTGAAACCGGAGAACTTCTTGTTTTTGAGTACTGATGAGAATTCGCCTCTCAAGGCTACGGATTTTGGGCTTTCTGTGTTCTTCAAACCAGGTCTGTGTGAATCCTTTTGCTCTGTTTTTTTTTGTTCTTTTTATCCTTTTTTCTCTCAAATCAGCTTCCTGAGTGTGTTAATTGGATATTTTAAGCTGCTTTAACTGTTTAGGGTGGGGAGCTATTGGTGAGTTGGACATGTTGAAAATCATAGGTGGGGATTTGTTTATGACAATTTTGCTTGTTAGGATACAGGTGACGTTTTTAAAGATCTAGTTGGAAGTGCATACTATGTAGCTCCAGAAGTTCTTCGTCGAAGTTATGGACCCGAGGCTGATAGTTGGAGTGCTGGAGTTATACTATACATTCTACTCAGTGGAGTTCCTCCTTTCTGGGCAGGTTCCTCTCTATGTCTCTTTATCAAGTCTCAAAGTCAATTCATTTTTTGTGATTATGTCATTTGAACAAAGATTTGGTTTCTCAATCTAATCCTGATAGTACAATATGTAATATAACATGCTATTGATCATTTTCTTTGTAGTTAATCAGTGTTTATTGTAGGACATTGCTTGAAATTTATTCCCTTTTTTGTAAATGGGTGTTCCTTCTATTTAAGAACCCATTTCTTCTCCTAAAATGTTATCTCTTATGTTGAGAAATCCTAAAAAACCAACCTTAAACCTAACGGTTGCTGCCTCCAGCCGTCTGCTTTTACCCAATACCACCCTCAGACAAGTTTGTGTCTCCTTGGGCTCCATGAAATCACGGCCTTCATTCACAGATTCACATTCTTCGTTCTAGTTTTTTACACAGATTTGTGGGGGTGTCTGCATATGAGCTTGTTGTTGTCTTTGTTGCTGACCACCACCATTGCTGCCTTCTGGTTCGTGTTCCTTTGTTGGAGGGAATCTAGTTACCTTGCAAAGCAAATAACAAGCTATAGTGGTTAGAAGTAGTGTTGAAGTTGAGTTTAGGGACTTAGTCCATACGATTTGTGAGAGTATATGGATAAAGTGATATTGGAAGAATTGAAATTCTCTCGGATGATGCAACAATTTCCATAATCAAATCCTTCATGATAGAACAAATTATATTGAGGTTGATGAACATTTCATAAAGAAGAAAAATGACGTGGGAGTAATATGCATTTTCTGCCCTCCTACGACAGAGCAAATTGTTTATGTGTTAACAAAGAGGCATCTCATGATTAACAAGTTGGAAATGATATCTTCAAACGGGGGAGTATTGGTTATTTCCTTTTTAGTTAATCAGTATTTATTTTCTTTATTATATTATATTGCTGGAAATTTATCTGTTTTCATTTGTAAATAAGTTTCTCTTCGATCTAAGAGCTCTTTTCTTCTTGAAATAACTCGTGGTTTTAGATCCTCATTTCTTTTTTAAAATTCTTTTCATGTTCAGAGAATGATCAAGGTATTTTTGATGCTATTCTTCGGGGACATATTGATTTCTCATCGGATCCTTGGCCTTCCATATCCAGTGGTGCCAAAGATCTGATTCGGAAGCTGTTGCAGTCCGATCCTAAAGAGCGATTATCCCCCTTTGAAGCTCTAAGTAAGTTTCCATCTCCAAGACAGATCATGCTAACAGAAATGATTACACATTCTATGATGAAAATTGTCTACCAGAAATTTTAGCCACATTGCCCCTGCAAATAAAACTGAAGTAATGATAATGTAGTTGCAGTTTGGTGAGGCAATGAATAATCACAGGAATTTTTCATTAACGTTCTTTTATGCTGCCCGTCGACTGATATTCGTATGTTATAACGTGCAGATCATCCATGGATGAAAGAAGATGGGGAAGCACCTGACAAGCCTCTTGATATTGCTGTTTTGACTAGAATGAAACAGTTCAGAGCAATGAACAAACTCAAGAAAGTAGCTCTAAAGGTGGGAGAATCTCCATCATAACATCACTTAAAAAGTGTCTAATTTTCCTCTGAACAATTTTTATGAGAAAAACTGATGAAGGTGGAGGTCTCCATAACCAGAGCTGAAAAGTCAATTAAAACGAAGTGTTTGTACTTGCTTTAAGTACATATCTTAAAATGTTACTTCATTTTCTGTAGGTGATTGCTGAAAATCTTTCAGAAGAAGAAATTGTGGGATTAAAGGAGATGTTCAAGTCAATGGATACCGATAATAGTGGAACTATCACTTTCGAGGAGTTGAAGGCTGGTCTTCCGAAACTGGGTACAAAGCTTTCCGAGACTGAAGTTAGGCAGCTGATGGAAGCAGTAATTTTACTTTCTTCCCCTTTGTTATGCCTTTCTTCTCTCTATTTGTATTTGAACTTGCAGAAAACATTTTCTGTCACTTCATCAATGACAAAACTATTTGTGCTTTTCAGGCTGATGTGGATGGAAATGGAACAATCGACTACATCGAGTTTATTACAGCTACTATGCACATTAACAGAGTCGATAGAGAGGATCACTTATTCAAAGCTTTTGAGTACTTCGACGAAGACAAAAGCGGGTAATCTTTGCTGTTTTATTTTAGTCTATGATTTTGGCTTTGGACTTGATCCGCTGTTCTGATACATATACCGTAGGTATATCACAATGGAGGAGTTGGAGTCTGCCCTCAAGAAGTACAATATGGGTGATGAAAAAACAATAAAGGAGATTATCGCAGAAGTTGACACGGATAATGTACAATTCTATTCTTCCTTTTAGTTACTTCCTCAAGTGCATCGGTTTTCGACTATCAATTTCTCTCTAGCAAAGTCATACCAACATAAATAGGTGTATAAAATGTGAAGAAAATTGTGTATGTGACTTTGGTAGTTTTCCATTACTTCATTTTCCATCAGCATTGAGGTACAACCTATAGAACAGATTCTGTTCAAGTAAGGTTATAATTTTCCATCAGCATTTCCTTAATTGCTCAATTCAGTTAATGCAACTTCTTCACATGAGGGTAAGCTCAATCTTTCTGTAGAACAGCATGTACGAAGACTCCATAGAAGACGAAAATGGTCCTAGAAACTTGTTTCAGACCATAGTCTAGTTCCAAAGAACATCAAAATTCTGGCATGATGTTTTGTTCTCTTGCTAATGAAAATTTTCTGGTTGATTTACACCAGGATGGACGAATAAACTACGACGAATTCGTTGAAATGATGAGGAAAGGAAACCCGGAGTTGACCACAACCAGACGGCAAAAATGAAGCTGAGTTTCTTCATTCTTTTGGCTGTGTTGTCTGTTCCATTAGGGTTGAAGTTTTGTTTACAGGAAACTTCAACTATTCTGAGCCTTTTTGTGTGTGTTATTCTGAGATTTGAGTGTATAAGAATATCAATATGCTTGGGTAGATAAGTCTCCTAGGAATGTAATGTTCTTTAGAATGAAAATGTAATGTCAGTCTGTAAATCCACCAAATGACCAGAGAGGAAGAGAAAAATGTACTCATCTTTAGTTTTGTTTTATCAGTGAGCTTGAAAAAGGCCACACTGTTATTGTTGTTGAAAAAAAATAAAGAACCTGTTCTTATGCTCTGATCTGATTGCTTTGATCTTGATCGATTATAAACGTTTCAAAGCTATTATAAGAAAATGTTCAAAAACAGAGATTGACAATACTGCAACCCTTGAAGGGTGTGACAGACAATCCAAAATTGTGGATTTTATTTTAGTCCATCCGCAGGTTCTAATTTATGTACACCGTCCTTCCATGGCTCGCATTTGGGAGCAAACTTCGAGAGAAAGGGAGACAGGAAAGACAGGAAAGACAGGAAAGGTGAGGCAGGGCGCGTGTGAGTGTCACTCCGAAAAAAAAGGAAAAACCGGGTACCCGATTCAGACACAGTACCATGTAACCACCACAAAAAAAGGCTCGCAGTCCGAGGTATATGCCTTAAAAAACTGCAAACCCAGAAACACACCCACGAGACAAATCTCCTCCTCAGATCAGATCGGGTTCCGCCTTGAAGTACAAGGAGAAACAATCGGTGCGTCTGTTCCCATATTGTGGCGTTGGAAAAGGGCTGGTTTTGTTTTGGTTTGATAATGGAGCAGAAGGGTTTGTTGGTGTCAGCGTTGAGTGTCGGCGTGGGAGTGGGTGTGGGGCTGGGTTTGGCCACCGGACAGAGCGTCACCAAATGGTCGTCCTGTAATTCGTCGTCCAACGTTATCACTGCTGATAAATTGGAACACGAAATCCTTAAACTCATTGTTGATGGTCGTGAAAGCAAAGTCACTTTTGATCAATTCCCTTACTATCTCAGGTACCCTTTTCTTTCCCTCTCTCTATTGCTCATTCTTATTCTCATATTGCATGCATGCACTTACGTCTATAAGGAATGTTAAACAATAAATTCAAAGTGAAAATTTGAACATGTGGCTTTATTATCACGCTTACTTCTTTGGCATGAAATAAGTTGTATTATTGTTTGGTTGGAATTTTGCATTGTGATCACGACAGTGAACAGACACGAGTTGTATTGACAAGTGCTGCATATGTCCATTTGAAACATGCTGAAGTTTCTAAGTTTACTCGAAACCTCTCCCCTGCAAGTCGAGCCATCTTACTCTCTGGACCTACAGGTCTGATCTGATTTACCTTAATATTATTCAAACCTTTTCTATTCATTCAAAACTTGTCATCTTTGTGTGTACTTTGTTCCTTTCTTGAAGAACTTTACCAGCAAATGCTTGCAAAGGCATTGGCTCACTACTTCGAGGCCAAACTGTTGCTTTTAGATATAACTGCCTTTTCCCTAAAGGTGAAATTTCTGAATTCTCTCGTGCAAGTTTGGTGGGTTTGCTTGTCTTCTTCTTCTTCTTCTTCTTCTCTGGAATTATTCACTTGTTTGTGTTGGGTTCAGATTCAGAGCAAATATGGCACCACCGTTCAGGTATCTGTAAGGCTGTTCTAAACTTAAAAAGATGTGATCTTTCTTGATGTTTTTAAGTGCAATGAAATTTCTGATCCTTTTTTTGAATGATCATATTAGTGTTTTAGACGCTCCACTTCAGAGTCAACATTGGAGAGATTGTCTGGCTTATTTGGATCATTTTCAATCCTTCAACCCAGGGAACAACAAAAAATAGGTTGGTTTTTAGCTTAAAACTTTTAAACTATAATGATGGATGAAGTTCCTAATCATTGGATCCTTCAAATTTAGCTTGAAACATTATGATATGAATCATGTTTAGAGTTTTTTCTTTTGGAAATATTGTTTTTCTTCACGTTTTCGATCTTAGGCTAATCAACACGAGTTCGTGTTCATTGTGTTGCAGGTTCATTACGAAGGCAAAGTAGTGGTGTGGAACTTGCATCACGGTATGCTGCCTAACTTATTTAAGTCTCGATTCTGTCGTTAAGAAAAGCATTGTTGAGATTAAATGAAAATATATACATATTTTGTTTGAATTTGCAGGGGAAAGGAAGGATCTTCCAGTCTCCCGAAACTTCGAAGAAACGCCTCTGCTGCTGCTAACATTAATAACCTTGCAACACAAGGCAATGTTGAGAAGCCAGGTCTGCCTGCCTTTCAAATCTTCATATGAATGATTGGTGAACATAACATATTCAAACAAAGTGTCCGAGTACCTGTCTCATGATTTCTAAATTTCCTTCCATTTCGGTCGAGCTCAACGATGAGTGAGATTGTTGTTTGAAGAAATGCACAGATTATCAGCAACCATAACTGTTTTTTTTTTATCGTGCATAACGTTAAAACTACTCGTTGGTTGCTGAAGATGCTTTGTGATTCTTTTCGAGCTTGAAGCCAGACTCTGCTTTTGATTGTTTTTTTCACTGATTTCTTGACTTAGTTGAAGTTTAATTGTTTGTAGCTCCCCTTAAGCTCATGACCAGATGGCCTTTTGAGGAGAAACTTCTTATACAGTGTCTGTATAAGGTAATAATGAGTAGCATTCTTCATTGATTCAACTGAAATTTATTAGAACTTTGGTCAGAACACAACTTTTATTTATTTGCAGGTTCTTCTATATGTATCGAAAGCGAGTCCCATTGTTTTATATCTTCGTGACGTAGATAGGTTCTTATCCAAGTCAAATAGGGTATATAACTTGTTCCAGAAAATGCTACAAAAGCTGTCAGGCACCATTTTGGTTCTTGGTTCCCGTACTATCGATTCAAGCAATGATTATATCGGGGTGGATGATAGGCTCTCTGCTCTTTTTCCATATAATATCGAGATCAAGCCGCCTGAAGATGAATCTCAGCATGTCAGTTGGAAGTCTCAATTGGAAGAGGATATGAAGAAGATCAAGGTTCAGGATAACAGAAACCATGTAATAGAAGTTCTTTCAGCGAACGATCTTGACTGTGATGATCTCGACTCGATCTGTGTTGCTGATACCATGGTTCTCAGCAACTACATAGAGGAGATTGTGATGTCTGCAATTTCTTATCATCTAATGAACAACAAGGATCCCGAATACAGAAATGGAAAACTGATCATCTCGAGCAAGAGGTAAGATTAGTCCTTCGTGTTTGAGTTCCCATCGTCGGTTATAAGTACTCATAGGTTTGGTCATGGAGCAGTTTGTCCCATGGATTGAACATATTCCAATCAGGAAAATCCAATGGCAAAAACACTGTACAGCTTGAAGCACAAACTGAAGCTTCAAAGGTTCATATTTTAGTTCTGACCATTTTATTTCAACCTTGAGAACGATGGAACAAGATTATTGAGAGCTTTAATTTGTTATCTCTAGGAGTCGGGGGCGGTGAAACCCGAAGCAAAAGCTGGTACCGCAGCTCCTGAAAACAAAAGTGAAGCAGCGCCTGCAGCCGTGGCGAAAACTGATGGAGAGGCTACTGCTCCAGCTGCAAAAGCCCCTGTAGGTCTCCACTTTTAATTGTTCTGTTGGCTCTGAGAATTTCATTACTGATGTTTGTATTATGATCAAATGTCACATAGGAAGTTCCACCAGACAATGAGTTCGAGAAACGCATTAGGCCAGAGGTTATACCAGCGAACGAGATTGGCGTTACATTTTCTGATATCGGTGCCATGGACGAGATAAAAGATTCTCTTCAGGAACTCGTAATGCTTCCCCTTCGAAGGCCAGATTTATTTCTCGGAGGGCTTTTGAAGCCTTGCAGAGGCATATTGTTGTTTGGACCTCCTGGAACTGGAAAGACTATGTTGGCCAAGGCCATAGCCAAAGAAGCCGGAGCAAGCTTCATTAATGTATCAATGTCTACCATAACCTCCAAATGGTTTGGAGAAGACGAGAAGAATGTTCGAGCTTTATTCACATTGGCAGCCAAAGTCTCTCCCACCATCATATTTGTAGATGAGGTTGATAGTATGCTCGGGCAGCGAACGAGAGTCGGTGAGCATGAGGCAATGAGAAAGATAAAGAATGAGTTCATGGCTCATTGGGATGGACTCTTGACAAATTCAGGGGAGCGTGTGCTCGTTCTTGCAGCAACAAATAGGCCATTTGACCTCGATGAAGCCATCATTCGGCGGTTCGAGAGAAGGTACTTGTGGTTCTAAATGCACTCACAAACAACGCTCGATGGACCCTCTGCTATGCATATCTTATATGTTCAGATGTTTTTTTCGGATCAACCTTATAATTTTTATGAACAGAATAATGGTGGGGTTGCCAACACCTGAAAGTAGAGAAAATATATTGAGAGCTCTCTTGGCGAAGGAAAAGGTGGAAGAAGGACTAGACATGAAGGAGCTTGCAACAATGACAGAAGGATATAGTGGAAGTGATCTCAAGGTTTGCTATCATAACTTACTATTTACTTCTTAAGGACCAAATCCTGTTACTCGTTTCTTCACTCGGAACTTCTTTTGAAACCAGAACTTCTGCATGACGGCTGCTTATCGACCCGTTCGGGAACTAATCCAGCAAGAAAGACTAAAGGATATGGTAAGTGTGAGGGAATCAGTAGCCATATTTGTATCCTTTTATTTGCTTTGTATTCAAGTAAGATACTTCATTTCCCTGTTCATCTCTTTTGCTTTGAAGGAGAAAAAAAAAAGTGCTGAGGCACAGAATGCAGCAGCAGGGGATGCAGCAGCTGGGAATGCAACAGGAGATGCAGCAGGAGATGGCAAAGAAGAAAGAGTAATCACTCTCAGAGCACTAAACATGGAGGACTTCAAACAAGCAAAGAATCAGGTAAATACAAAACATCTCCTTGTTGTTCTGCCACTTTTATTTACCCCCAAGCCTACCGCTAGCAGAGGATATTGTCCTCTTTGGTCTTTCCCTCGAGGTTTTTAAAACGCGTCTGCTAGGGGAGGTTTCCACACCCTTATAAAGAATGCTTCGTTCTCCTCCCCAACTGATGTGGGATCTCACATAATCTCTTCCCAACTCCACCAAAATCCGTTTCTTTGCTTCCTCGTTGTTTGATTGCCTTTTGTGTCACTCCCACAAGTCCACGACTCCCGAACAACAACAAGGATATGAATGTCATTGTACAAGTTGTTGGGTTGCAGGTTGCAGCCAGTTTTGCAGCAGAAGGAACAATGATGAGTGAATTGAAGCAATGGAATGAGCAATATGGGGAAGGAGGATCAAGAAAGAAGCAACAGTTGTCTTATTTCCTGTGAGGTTAGGCCATGAATGGCTATGATTTGCTGCAACTCTTAGGGCTCTCTTATTTCCATGTGAGGAAGCTTTGTTTGTGTAAATATGAGGAAAGCTTTGATTTGTTCCATTTCTATGGGGCTCTGCTCTGGGAATTACATACCCAACTAGTTTCTCTTTCAATCGGCTGGTGCTGGAATCACAGCAAACCAACCCTCTTTTTTGTTTTTTCTTTTTGGTTCTGACTTCCTTATCTTTATATATTTTGTATCAAATTGTTTCTTTTTACTTCCTTTCTTCCCCTCATTGCCACTATTTCAACGCTATATATTCTCGACTAAAATTCAGAGAGACCAATAACTTCAGGATAAAGAATAAATAGGTTCAAGCAATGGAATTGTGAGACCGATAGTATTCTATGATTCAAGAATAAATGCTTTTTAGAAATCGTCGGATAATAGAATTGTGTTACCGAGTTGAAGAGGTGAACGAGTAAAAGTGTCGATCCTCTTTTTCTTATTTGTTATTTGTTAAGTTTGTAACTAATTATTAATTATTTATTATTATTATTATTATTTTTAGATAAGAGAATCCCACTTATCGTGGGAATATAATAAAAGAATGGTTTTATTAATTCTCCAAATAAGACAAAAGGAGTTTATAATTAAAAAAAAAAAAAGGCTAAAAAGTATGATAAAGTAAACCCTAAAACTATAGGTATATATTATAAAAGGAAATAAAAATGTAAATATCAGTTTTCTACAAACTTTAATTAAAGGATAAATAAGAATTATGGCACTGAAATTATTTTTTCAACAGTGAGTTTAAAGTCTTTTATATACCAACTTGATAATATTATTGAATTCACCTAATAATAAAAAATATAAAAATTTATATATTTAAATTTGATTAACGCAAAAAAAATAACCTAATAAATAATTTTATCAATAATATTAAACAAAAAAAAGTTATCTTTTTTAATTAAATAAAAATTGAAACATAGAACAATTTATTTATAATTATAATATATTATGGAATTAAAGGGGTTTTAAAAATAAAATAGAATGACATTTATTTAGACGTCAAAATCAGTTGAGGTTTAAATAGTTACATTTATTAATTAAGTGGGGATGCTTTTTCTTTCATTTTTCGGCTACTTTTTTTTTTTTTTTTTTTTTTTTTTTTTTTTTTTTTTTTTTTTTTTTTTTTTTTTTTTTTT